GAACGATTGTGTACCGCGGAATAAGGTATCTCCACGAGGATGAGCAAAAAGCCGATACTGACGAGCTGTGACTTTTTCCCAATCGCCCTTATTCCCCATCAATCTTCCATTTCTTTTTCAGAGATCTCCACATTTTGCTCGCTTTGGACATGATTCACCATGACTACACCAGCGGGAAGTCTACTCTTGGGAGTTCGCGCCATACATCGAACGGACTTGCGCTTACGGTAGCTAGCGGCCACCCCTGCTCAAACGGGTGGGGACCACACACCATGCTTTTGGAAAATGTCGATTTATGGGCGCAAGAAATGTTTGTGTTACAGAGTCAAGTTACGCGAACCTGAGTTCTGCCAACCTTGGTGCATGTTCCAAGCCGATGAAAGATTCAGTCACTCTTCCTTTCATAACCTCTAATCTCATTTTTTCAGGCTCTAAAACGTTTTTAAATAGACATGTAAATTTTTGAATATGGCTCCGCTCACATTATTGCGTGTCCCGCTCAACATCCCCCTCTCCTCCAATAGGCTCTACCTTTCAATGAGCTGAGTGTCTGTTGTTTACGAAGTGGCAATGGAAACCGAGGAGCCAGGAAGCATTCATGACATAACAATCTGCCGTGTCATTCAGCGTCATAAAAGCTACGAAACTTGAATGATTATGGACATTGCTATTACTCTTCTTTTTCCCAGAATTCGGGTTTGAAAGCTCAAAGGCGATGGCGGAAAGACGCTATCAGGTGAAACGCTTGCTTTCCCATTGCCATTTTCATAACTGTTGTGTCAATGAAGTATCTAACTAATGAGAATTTTTTCCCCATGATGCATCATTGACCATGTTTGTTGAGAACTTCGCCCATACTGCGATATTCGGGTGCCAGCCCAAATTCCGAACACTCGCTCCAAATCTTTTCGTCTTTCACTCTTCAAAATTCGAAAGCAATTTTCTTTGCCCTCTCGAAACACTTCTTTGAAGCCCTCGGAAAATGACGATTTGCAAATTAAGTTTTTTCTCTGAGAAAGCCAGGGCGCATGCGAGTGAGAAATTTTGCGTATTCATGGAGCCTAAATCAAATTTGAAGGGGACCACAAAGAAAAAACTAATTGATTTCTCAGAATAAGCCCAATAACCTCTACACTTTCCTCAGTCAACAATTCCCCTTTGTGTGCTCCAGTACTGAGAGTAACAAAACGATGACCTTGGCTCGATGGTTGGCAGTTTATTTTGCGTAACCGCTCCCAGCCAAGTTGATGCATATTCTTACTTACTAACTCTTCATTTGTAAATCAAAAAATGACTTGCACACCGACAGAAGTGGAATAAAATTGGCAGAAAATGCAACTCTGGCGTTGTAAGGCGGAATTCCCTTGAATGACCCGATGACTTGTGATTAAGAGGCGAGTGAGCTCTGAAACAAAATAAGCAACAGTGGGGTCTGACGAGAAGTCAGTCGACTAGGATTTTCTTCAGGTGACTTCACAACAAAAGGTCAGAAGGTTGTATTAGCATAATCCTAAGAAACTGAAAAAGGCAGGAATACAAGGTGTCCTTCGGAAAGATCTTCTGAATGATTTCACCGAATATTAAAGCAAATGAAACGAAAACGGTTATGGCCATCACAAAAATGGCTACGGGATCGCATTTCTCAGGGAAGCCCATGGGAACCAAGCTTTTCGTCCCTTGGGACTCACTTAATTCACCCAGTTGATGAAAAGATTGGGACATTCACGAGCTGGCGAAACTAACCGTTACTATTACGAAACAGATTAACGTCGGTTACATTGTGGTAGGGAAAGGATCCCAACAGCACCTTCGAGCGGTACTGACCAAGAACAGGATCTGTGAACATTGATGTACTCGATTTCCGTTTTTGTAGATTTTGATCTTGATCAGTTGCAATCCGATAAATCGATTCTCCCAATGAGTTATTCGTATTTTGCTCATTTCTCTACAA